TATATTTCAGTCAGGGTGATCTTGGATTTTCGTGTATTGACAGTTGACCAGAGTCTGGATACCAGATTACAATACAACATACATGAAAGGCTGTATCTGAATTTCTGGTTATGGCTAAAAACACACGCGCCTATGGAAGCGGCTGCAGCCACTTCCCGTAGACACGTGTGATATTTCCAGTCAGCCAAGTACTCCACATCTGTCTATATTTATTGTATTTTTCTTTATGATCATGTGGAAATAAATGTTACTTTGAATTGAATTGAATTGAATTCGGACGCGGCTTAAGTCTGAAAAATTGAATATTGGGTTTTACCCTTCACCGACACTTGTTATAATTATACACCATCGTATTTTAATACGTTGGTGGAGGGCAAAAGATATTGAATTTACATTTCCCCGATGCAAATTCTTTCCTATAAAATGTCTTACAAAAAGAACAGGTCAGAAGACAAGTTCAACAAATCCTAACTTAAGATTAAGTTGTGAATTGACGTTATACATGAACGCCAAACATGAAATAGCCATTGGAAATTTTGCATTGATAAGGTCATTGAATTTGCAGCTGAAAAGGTACATGCACACATTCTAGAGAAATTCTATCCGGCATGCTGGGTGGCTTTGGGTCCATAACCTACACACAGTAACCGGTGAAATCAGCTGGAAAATGCTCCCAAATCATGTCACAAAAGAGTTGGGTGTTTTCTAAGTCTGCTGGCCCATAAGACCATGGGTTTCTAACTGACTACTATACCCAGTGTCCCCAGGGATAATTCCGAATTATTTCTGCAGTCGTGGAAACTTGAAAAGCGCAAAAAGGAGTTTTATAGCTGGTAGTCCGTACCACCCCTGATCCCTGGTCCCAAGAGGAATGTCTGTTTGCGCTGCCTAAACAGCTGAAACTTGTAATCCGCTGGAAAAATTGCAAAACTGTCCCATAAAATTTATGCCCGGTGACAATGACGTGTATGACTGTTGGCATTTACTTTGTGATGTTAGTCTTTATTAAAGGATCCAAACCTGTGACTTTAATGTGGGTTGTTTTTAATGTTCTGACAGTGAACTACATGTAATCATGAATTGTGATTAGACTACCGTAGTATTACTTGGAATGACTACCATACAAAACTACACTTGAGAAGCTTGAACCTTTGTTGTCTGGGATAGGGAGCATTGCTTGGGTTTCCAGGCATGCTGTGGAGGCTTAGGGTAAAACTAGGGCTCCCTCTGACAACTAAAAGAATCCCATCCAATAGTCACAGGGATGAATCAACAAAAGAAGATTTGATAGTGATGATTCCAGTTTGACAACTCCAATTTCCATCATGTCAGGAAAACAGAGCACCATCAAGGTTATTAAACCCATTTATTGCATGATCGTTACCCCCTAGAGGTAGACATAACCTGGTCACCGACCTCAATCTGACACTGGTTCAAGGCTGAACTGGTTATTTTTGCCTTTTTTCTTGCTAGCCTTCCTGAATGACAAATTTATCATCAGAACAAAATTCCTGAATCAGCTCTTGGTTTGAAGGTTTTGTTTATAGAATTTTTTTTATGGCCTTATGGTTTGACCCTGGGTCAGTTGCAGTGTTGGCCCTTTATGAATTAAAGAATGTATCCATTGACTCAACCAAAACCTGTATTTAAAGTAAAATTTGGAGCAAGGAGTGGCTAGAAATTGCATAATTATTTAGAATCTGAGGCCACAAGAATACCTTCAAGCTTCAAGAAACTGTGTACATGTACCATACTTTAAAAATTCACTTCTTGGCTTCTTAAGACTCTCCCTGATGATCCAAAAGAATCCTGTAACCAACCAGCCTCACTTGAACTCTACATCATATACATTGTTCTTCAATTTGTGAAAATTCACCTGTTTGGTATAGAATCCATTTTGTTTTGAAATAATATTGTACGCTGTGGAGGTGTGAATATTTCAAATGCCTCACATTTACTCTTGTCAAATTGAAATGTTGCAATTTTAGAAATCATGCCCACCTTGATAAACTTTTATAATCATTACAATAATTGCTTGCGAAATATTTTCCCACTCCAAGTGATATCAATATTTTCTCTCTGTAGTACACAGACTCCCTCATCATCTGGTAGCCTTGTATTTCCCCTTGTAATTTTCCCTTATTTTTCCTTGTTTTACCCAGACTAATTGTGTACATTAACTCTTTCGCTACGGCGAGCCGCTCACGGCGGCTCATACAAATTGTACAGGTCGTACGGAGAGCCGCTGGCAGCGGCTCGGTTGCGTCGCTATGAATAAACAGGATGTCCCCATGACGTGGGCCATATCTACATAATTTATATCGTATAACCTCTGACCCTAGTTCGAGCCGCTGCCAGCGGCTCTCCGTCTGGCTGGGGTGCACTTTTTGTTATTGTGAGCAGTTTGTTTACGGAGATACATTCAAAGATGGCGGCGCTCACATCGACGCTCGGCGGAATTTTCAGCTTTGAATTACGTCCAGTTGGGACGAAAAAGGTAAATTAAATTCCGTAGTGAAAGAGTTAAACTGTATCTTCAAATGTAAATCAGACACAGACACAATATCATTTTTTTGTTAAGTTCCCAATTGAATGAACAAGCTTGTGAGCAAGTTTCTGCTTTTTCTCTCGTTTGCTTGGTTACAATCTAACAAAAAATAATGCAGGATGCTGAATCCAACAGAATCCCACAATAGCAGAATCTATGTGATCTAATCTCATATGAAAATCTGACAGAATTTGCCCTGTGTTGGACATTGGCGGATGTGAGAGTGCTAGGATTATATTGAGTATTTTTGCCAAGGCATACCAGGCCTTTGCGTTTTGGATTGCATTGTACTCTGCTTGTCAGAGTGGGTGCGCTCATTCCATGTTCATGCGTTTACGCTACATAACAGTTACATGTGTGCACATCATTCTCTCAGATGTTTTTTTCACAGTACCGTGTCATTGCCTTCTTTCCAAGCTAGCCTGGAGGCATTCCATAGAAAGCACATCCCCTGTCCATCCTCCCATTGAAACTGTTTTCTTTCTTCTTTTCAATCCGTTACGTAAGAGCGACAGTTAAGTGTCTGCACCCAAACAGGTCCTATTGAACAGGTCGGACAAAAACCGTTATTGACAAGGCCGACGCATTTACTGGTACATGAACACTGCAAGGGTGACCAGTGAGAGCGTGGAGGGGCTTTGGCTTGGTTAATCGGTAGCAGGGACTTAAGGGGGTGACTGAGGATCCCAGGTTTTGTCATGTTGGCAAACAAAACGCTGAGCTACTTTGCCAAAGCTGCTTCTGGACCCAAATAAGGTTTAACTGTCTGCCTTGAAGCTACGGTAGGCTAAGTCATCTTGCAGCAATGGTGCTGGATTGGCTATGAGTATTGGTAGATTGATTCTTCATGTTGTATATCTTAGCCCAAATAATGATACCATTACAATGTTCCACCTTTTGCTTCCAAATACTTCGACGTCATCAAACCGGAAGTTCGGTGTTATGAATACATACACTTATATTTTCCAAATTTTCATGCGTTATTTAACTTCACAATGAACATCCACTAAGAACTAAATCAGTATTCACTTCCCGTTTTTGACTAATGACGTTATCAAGCCAGAAATAACTTGTACCGGAATATTTACTTAAATTGATCGCACCGTTAAATATGCATTTTTTAAACAAAATAATTGATTGTCCTGGAAAGGGTTCAATTTCGTGATCCTTTGTTCTTACATAAAAATATTCATAACTTAAAACTTGACAGTGTTTCATAAAATAGTTGTCTACCATACCACTCTGCGTTTGTGACAACAAACGCGAACCTCTAGTTAAACTTAAAGTCTGATTTTTGTTTGAAAATCTACCATGTTTTGCTGCTTTTAAAAGACACATCCTTTCCGCCCACTTAATAATGACAACAGCAAAGACTTCCATTCTGAATTCTAGTTTTGACCCACTTTCTCTGTGCAGGAATTTTACTCCAATATGATGATTTTAACAGAAAATTACATTATTACAATAAAGTCTGGACATTGCCGGTCAGGCATTGTTCATACCAGAAATCCTGAATACAAGAGTGAAATGTGGCTCTAGAAGTGACCAATTCAATGGCCATGGCCTATAACTTAGGCCTTCAAAAGGAATCATAGACAAATATTATTCATTCTATATAATTTCGTAAAGAATTGCTGCGGCTTTGAGGGAAAAGAAAACTGTACAGTACGTGCAGATTGCAAAGAGAGAAATGGCGAATTGTGGTTATTGTACTATTGCGGATGCATGGATGAAAAATGTATTTGCCTCAGGGTGTTGGAGCATTTGACAAGAGTGCACCGTGTATGGTGACACTTTGGATCTGATGAAATGGGCCAACCTGTTGTCAAAGGCAAGTCTGGGATTAACAAAGCCATTGTATTCTGTTTTGGACATTTGTGTGCATGGCATTTGTATATTCATCGAGTTTTGCATGCGTATCTTCAGCATTTGTCTGCACATCCGCGTACATGTGCACACTTTGTAAAAATGTTAGATACAAACATGAAGAAGAGCACATGGGGGAAAACTCTTACATTGTATGTATCCATTTGTTACAGAATGGTATTCTTTTTGCACTCGGAAACTAGGAATTGGCAGTTTTTACAAATTTTTAACAGCATTTTTTTTTTCTGTGAGCAAACAGCTTTTATCTAGAGGCTTCCAATATGCATATATGTGCACATGTGGTTCTGAATGTAAATAATGAAGAATAGATGATTACATGTACCGGTAAGTGCTGGACTAAATTTGACGAAATTTGACTGTGAAGCTGAAAAAATTGCCGGGCTTTGACGCTTGGTACCAGTACTCTGTATTGTGAATCCTTAAATTGTTCTTTGTTTGCTCACTGTAGTGTAAGGATCTTTTCAGGTGCTGCATTTTTCCTGGGACCTCTGTAACTGTACTAAGCATATAATACCCGTTTCACTTGTCATAATGCAATATCCATTTCCCTCTTTTCTCATAGAAGCCCCCTGTGAAAGATGCCCACATCAGTGGACAGACCACCACAAGCAAGGAACCCACCGTCCCGAGTTCCAATCCCACCACGAGCACACTAGGTGACCCAATGCCCCTGGAGGACAAACGTCAGCTCTTCCAAGAGAAGGTTCGACTCAGCAATGAAGCCTGTCAGAATTCGGACTTTGAGCGAGCCATTCGTCTGTACACCGAGGCATTAGTCTTGGATCCAGCCAATCATATCCTGTTCAGTAATCGCTCGGCGGCGCATATGAAACTGAAGCAATATGAGAAGGCATTACATGATGCAGCTAAAGCCAGGGAACTCAACCCAAAGTGGTCAAAGGTAAGAGTTTTGCATTCCTTTTTTTTCAATAATGTATTCAATATATAGAGGGCTCTCACTGACCAACGTGACCCGGCCTACATTGACCTGACCTACATCCAGGTACTGGAAAGTCAGCGTCGCCATTATGATAGGTGAAGATCGTATAGCGCTGCATGCAGTACCGGTAGGTAGTAGGCTAGCCTTCAAAGCTGTGAAGGATGGCAAAAACTGTGACGAAAAATGCGGCTCAAACACTTATTGCTGGGTCGACATGATTGTGACAACTGTACACGGCACAGGTAGTGACCATTATGCCATTTGATAAGAATTTGCAGTAATAATACATGAAAATGAGCCATACTGTCTAGTTTACAACAATCAACGTACCGGTAGATGCTGACCATTGAGCACTTTCCTACTGCAATGGTGGTTAATTGTGAGGAAACCAGATGGTCTCATGGTACATCATACGATTGGACGCTACTCAAAAGTGTAGTTGGTTGCTTTAAATTAATTAATTGAATTTTTTGGTTGGTAGGCCTAATGTTTTGTTGTATCTGATTAAAGGGAATGTACAACATTTGCTTTTGCTGCAATTTTCAGAAATAAATGGATTTGGAGGATTAGTATGTTGTAGCAAATATTGTTGAAATGGCTTGTTTCACGTTTTGGGCTTGTATAGGCTGGAAAAACTCAAGAAAACCAATCATGTTCTTGTAGTCTGGTTCCCTGACCCTACTTAAGATGAAACAGAGCAATTTATAGACTTTGGAAATTGTAAGGTCAGAGAATCAGTCCGGCAGGCTTGTACCCCTTCACAGGTGTGTAATCAATTGCAAAGAAAACGCGGAATAACTAATTATGAAAAATTAGGAGCAGTTTTTGAAAATAGCCAGTTTTCTCCAATGCTGGTCGGCCGACCAGCGTTGGAAAAATACAATTTTCTTGAAAATGACAGCACACCATGGGGCCACAATTTTACAGGATGCTTGAGACTGTCATTCCCTAACAGTCTAGTAAGGTATTTTGTGATTATTTCGTTTTGTGATGTTTGCAAATGTTGTATCTATCTTCCCTTTAATGTAATCATCTCGAAATAGTTGTCAATTTATTTTAAAGTTTAGATGGTTTAAGTTTACTTTGTTATCATTTTTTGTTGTTGATTAGTTGGAGATGATTTTTCGGGGGGGGGGCGGGGGGGGGGGGGACAAAATTACGTATGTTTCATCATGTCAACTATGAAGATGAATTCAGGTTTGTATTAACCCCAAGGCCAAAAAATTACATGGCATTTGAAAATAGGTTACATGTAGGTACGTAGGGAATTTTTTTTTGCCAATTTTTTTTGTGTACTTTCATATGGAGGCGTCTGCGTGTAGTCAAGGGTAAAATGTAGAAATTGATGGTTTTGGGTGTTTTTATGCCCCGCGGCGAAGCCGAAGGGGCATACTGTTTCCGCCTTGTCCTTCCGTGGGTGGGTGGGTGGGTGGGTGGGTGGGTGTGTGGGTGTGTGTGTGTCCGGACAAATCTTGTCAGCGCGATAACTTGAGAAATACTTTACATATGAACTTCAAATTTGGTTTGTGGATTGTCCTTGGTAATCCTAAGAAGCCTATTGCATTTGGGGCCGAAAGGTCTAGGTTCAAGGTCACAGTGGCTGAAACAATAGAAATTTTGTCAGCGCGATAACTTGAGAAATACTTTACATATGAACTTCAAATTTGGTTTGTGGATTGTCCTTGGCAATTCTAAGAAGCCTTTTGCATTTGGGGCCAAAAGGTCAAGGGTCAAGGTCACAGTGGCTGAAACAATAGAAATTTTGTCAGCGCGATAACTTGAGAAATACTTTACATATGAACTTCAAATTTGGTTTGTGGATTGTCCTTGGCAATTCTAAGAAGCCTTTTGCATTTGGGGCCAAAAGGTCAAGGGTCAAGGTCACAGTGGCTGAAACAATAGAAATGTTGTCAGCGCGATAACTTGAGAAATACTTTACATATGAACTTCAAATTTGGTTTGTGGATTGTCCTTGGTAATCCTAAGAAGCCTTTTGCATTTGGGGCCGAAAGGTCAAGGGTCAAGGTCACAGTGGCTGAAACAATAGAAATGTTGTCAGCGCGATAACTTGAGAAATACTTTACATATGAACTTCAAATTTGGTTTGTGGATTGTCCTTGGCAATTCTAAGAAGCCTTTTGCATTTGGGGCCAAAAGGTCAAGAGTCAAGGTCACAGTGGCTGAAACAATAGAAATTTTGTCAGCGCGATAACTTGAGAAATACTCTACATATGAACTTCAAATTTGGTTTGTGGATTGTCCTTGGCAATTCTAAGAAGCCTTTTGCACTTGGGGCCAAAAGGTCAAGGGTCAAGGTCACAGTGGCAAAAACAAAAGAAATTTTGTCAGCGTGATAACTTGAGATATACTTTACATATGAATTTCAAATTTGGTTTGTGGATTGTCCTTGGCAATCCTAAGAAGCCTATCGCATTGGGGGTCGAAAGGTCAAGGGTCAAGGTCACAGTGGCTAAAACAATAGAAATCTTGTATTTATTCTGAGATCATAGGGATTAGGGATTAATTCATATAAAACCTACAGAAGACACTGATGCTGTCAATGAACGTTCCATTTGACCAAGGTACATGTAAGTTGATGTTTGAGTGGTGTTATGTCATGGAAACAGTCACGGTTGCGGGGCATTTGTGTTTGTAAACACACCTGACTTGTTTTCCCTCATTTTTCCCATAAAAAAATTAGGGTAGGGGCTATTTGGTAGGTAGGGAAACCGGAAGCAGAACTTTTTTTTGGGGGGGGAGGCCTAACTATTCTTTGTCCAACAATATTTAACAGTGGAGGAATTTTATTGAAGTCTGTTGATCAGTCCAGAACAAATTCATCCCATTCCAGCTGTTAGATTCTGCTGGCTCTACACTTCACTGTCATTCTAATTGGATTTTGCGGGTTATGACTTGCAGTTAACACGAGCCTAGAATGGATAACAAATATGAAAAGTACACAAGAAACACGATACAATTGTATATAAGGTTACTGCCTTCGGTCCCTGTCTCGTTAGCAAGTATATTATCTGACATGGTGTTGTGATGTTTCAATTGTAATCTGATTTGCCTAATTGAAAAAACAGGAGCTCCCATGCATCACCGTTTTCAAAGTAGACAAATTTCGAGTACATGTAGACAAATTTCCTATCCTTTCCCACACTTAACTTGTCACTTCGTATAAACAGCCAAAGTACATACATGTACCAGCAAGCAAATTCTGCAGGCGTATATTTTTATTGCCTTTTTTGTGTGAGTGAGTGAGCCATACATTTGCACCCAAGACCAATTGTATCTCCATTTCCATACATGTCAGAGCTCTCACCTTACGTGCCATAGAATTCCCACAAGAATAGTCTCCTACAGAACATCAACTACACTTTAACCCCGCGTTTTATGAGCACATGGCTAGACCCACATTGCTATCCCTAACCAACCGACCCCCCCAGAAAAAAAATACTTGGTTTTGTCACGCTCCGAAAGCAAAAGGAGAGCTCGAAAGTTATTCTTCCACACTTTATGTGACCTTCAAAGGCTGTGGAAGGGCCCATTGTTAGAAGAAATGACTGACTTTTTTCGGGAGTTGAAACCACTGGTTCTTCATTAGAATGCTTCAGCGACTGATCTGAAAAGGCCATTGTAGAGGCAGCTTGGGTCGACCTGTCAAAGCTGTTTATCCTATAGGGAATCACGTCAGCACGTAGACTTATTATTATTATTGTTCAGTTTTGGGCCGTTTGGAACTTTGGATTTATAGTGAACTTCCCGGCAGAAAGTGTCCCTTCCCTTTGCGTTCCATTCCAGTGTGGTGACTTCTGCTCTTGTGTCGTATTGTTGGATTTCGAAACGCCGCTAATATGATTAAAAAGTGTTGATTGTTATGAGGAATGTGAAATGTACAATTCTTGACTTTTTCCCCAACGTTCGAAGTGCACTTTTTTTTCTCTTGGCGATTGAGGTCGTGATTTTAATAAGCATTTTGTAAGCAACTTTTTTTCTTCAAACTTTGTTTTGTTTTATAATTATGTGTATAAAAATGAAGGTCCAAATGATTCACTTGACATGAAAACCCAAAGAGTTGGTTTCAAACTATCCAAATTGAAAACAGAAATGGTTACCCAGACACCCCCTGGGTTTACTGAAGTGAAGTGATGCATGCTAATATGTTGTGCATTCTGGGCATATTTAGGGTCAGTTCGATATTCCAATAAGAACAAAACAATACCGTATTTGCTACATTTCTTCACAGTGTCACTAGTACGGACTTCTTCATGTTTTAAATTTATTTTCCGGCTGCGGAATGTGGCTATGACAATTTGAAAAGGCTCATTTTTGTAACATTACATGGCATTTGTCCTTGTTGTGAAAACTTCTCTCTGTTCAGAATTGGGCTTCAATTAGTTGGTAGAAAATATTAACATATGTACCGGTATGTGCATCGGCCAAATTAGGTATAAAGCGATTGGTACGACTCTTGACGACTGGCAGAGAATGCTTCCAGACATTGAGTTTCCTGTGGTTTCTTTTCAGAACCACACAACTCACAGATGAGATTTTGTATCACTCGGTTCAACCGCAAATTTATACTTATTGCCACTTTCAATATGTAGGGCCTAAACATTCAAATATTATCTAAAGTTTTTCTTCTCTTATATACCTCAGTGGAAAAAACATATTGAAAAAATTGTAGGCCCCTATCATATTAAAAACATATTCAATAATCGTGGTGTTTTCGTAATTAATAACATTTTTGAGATTCTCTACAATCCCAACATTAGAAAGCTGTAATGGAAAGGGGAAAAAAAATGTGCATTCATGTTTTATTGCACGTACACCATTCTCATTTACAGAATCTAATGTGTTGCTGAGTTCAAAGAAGCGATAAATCAGGATAGAATTAAGGGTAACATTTCACAACCAACACAAAATTCTGTGATCTTAAAAGGGTCATTGGTAAAGATCAGTTCCTTGTACAAATCATCTTGTCTGTACCATGTGTAGCCCCACCCGATCTCTTCAGTGTTTCCTGGTTTCACGTAAAGTGGACTTTTTCTCAGCTACACGTCCATTCAAATGTAAACACCAGGGAGAAATTTCTCAAAACTTACCCCGGTGAAACTGCTGAAACGTGGCACAAATGGTTCATCC